TATATAACATTTTGAATAACATTTTCATTTTCAATAATATTTTCGAATAATATATTAGTATATGAGTATATAACATTTTTATGTATTATATAAACAAAATCTTTTTATGTATTATATAACATTTTTATGTATTATATAATCTCTAATATTGATTAGTATATAACATTCTCGAATTATATTAATTATGTATATAAACAAAATCTTTTAATATCTTTAAATCCGTTGACCCGTTGACCCGTTTATATATATTAGTGACATGGAATAAATTTTATGATTAGAATTATATAATGGCATATATTGTAATTTCTTACAAAATTTAAGTTATGATCTTTAGGATGTACTTCCCAAATATTAGTATAGGATGAGAGTAAATCCATTTATCTACATTTAAGTATTTAATTAATTGCAGTATTAAAAATATAAAAAAATCGATTTTTTTTCCTTATTATTATGCTCGGTCGCCCCAAAAGAAAGGGCCAAGGAAGATAGAGATTTGATTTGGTCATAAAAATTGGGCTTTAGAGTAAAAAACAAACAAACAAACAAACGAAAACATCTCTCTCTTTCACTTCACGTCGTCGAGCTCCGGATCTCATCGGCGTTTCATCATTCTCCGTCGATCTATTCACCGTACGACTCCGTTATTAGGAATCTGTAGATGTCAATTTGAGAGAAAAGACTATCTGTCTCCATTACAACACATTCTCCGCCAGAAAGGACAATGGCGGTGGTGGATGTTCATCGGTTCGCTGAGTCAATCACTTGCCATGCGTGGAGTCCTGATCACTCCAGTATGTTTCTCTCTTCCTTGCCTTTTTGTTTTTTTTTTTAATAATTATATGAGGAGGAGGATCTATAGTTTGGCTGGTAAGAAAGATAGATGAGAGAACTGAATTGCCTTTTATGTTGTTCTAATACATCTTGCTAATCAAATTTCTTCAAAATCCCTAGAATTCAGGATTTTCGGGTCAATGTTTGTTATGTCTGTTTGTCAGTGTCTCTTCTTAGGAACAGTTGGTATCTTCTGTACTAAGCCTGTAACCATTTATGTGCTGTGACATTTGCTTTGTTTTTCTTCCTAGTGGTTGCTCTCTGTCCTAACAATACTCAAGTTCATATCTATAAATCATCATCTCAAGACCAGTGGGAGAGGTTACATGTCCTCCAAAAGGTGAACCTCTATATCTTGAACTTTCATTCCTTTCCTTTCTCTTCTTGAGAATTATTTACTAAATATATTTATTTATTCTCATTTTACTGAAAAGTGTTCTATAGACAGTTTCAATCTTTCTTACAACAAAGTCGTGATAATTGTTTGAATCGTTGTAGCATGACCAAATTGTTTCTGGAATTGACTGGAGCTCAAAATCCAACAAAATCGTCAGTGTTTCTCATGACAGGAACTCGTAAGTTGCAAACTTTTATATACTTTGAGGAAATTGGCCATTTGGGTAACCTTTTACTTCGATTAGTGCTGTGAGAAACTGCAAACCTGTTATTCTTAGTTCTTCACTGTTTTAGTTAGTTAAACTGAGTTTAGAATGCTTCTTGAAGGTACGTGTGGAGCCTGGACGGAGGTGAGTGGGTACCAACTCTTGTTATTCTTAGACTAAATCGTGCTGCACTTTGTGTCCAATGGAGCCCGAAAGGTAAATGTATCAGATCTAAAGTTTTCTGAGTTCTCAAGCTTACTTGTCTATGTAATATGTAAAGTACTTTTCCTATAATTTCTACAGCTTCTAATCTGTGTTCCCATCTTTTTTCTCAATACCTTTAGAGAACAAGTTCGCTGTTGGAAGTGGTGCTAAAACTGTTTGTATTTGCTATTACGAGCAAGAGAATAACTGGTAATTTCTTTTTCTGCTCCTAGTTCTCATTATTAGTCATGGATTTTCCTTGGAATGTTGCCTAAAAATGGCGTTGTTGGTCTATGTAATGGTATTATCTTGTGTTATGTACTGGCATGTTATTAGCACCTATTTTTTTTTTTTTTATCATCTTGGCATGCTTAAACCATGTAATGTGTTGAGGTTTTGGAAAGATCTGGACTATGTGCAATTCTCACAAAGTATATTATTAGTTTCATGTAGAGTTTCGTATTTTAGTTGGCTGACATTGCTTGGCTTTACTGTGTTCAGGTGGGTCAGTAAACTTATCCGGAAAAGGCACGAATCTTCAGTCACATCTGTTGCTTGGCATCCTAATAATGTACGTGCAATTAACACAACCCCCTGTACTTGATGTAGCCAAAATTAATCAGGCCCTCTGCAATTGCTTTCTGTACCAAAAATATTATATTAGTTGGCCACCGAATAGAGTATAGAGTACATGATCCCTAAGATAGAATATCAATCTCCACAAACTAGTTAATCTTCTAAATTATTGTTGCCGGTACCTTTTCATGCTGCTGTTCTCTCTGATTGTCTGTTTTGCATTAGATTCTTCTGGCAACGACATCTACAGATGGAAAATGTCGGGTATTTTCAACATTCATCAAAGGAGTTGATACAAAGTATGCTCATTTCTTGAATGTCTATTTCTAAAACGTTTTCGCAAAAAAATGGGTGTAGTTTCTAATATTTTCTCTCAATGGGCTGATACAGGGATTCAAAAGCAGGCTCACCAGCGGAAACTAAATTTGGGGAGGTTTGATTTGTTTGGCAGGCTTTCCTTCTTTTCGTAAATATCATAATGCTTATGCCATATAACTGTTGCCTTGCCTCTACTCCCTCATCTAATGTTAGGGAGCTTTTTTTCTTTTGTGTATTTGTTGACAGCAAATTCTTCAGCTTGATCTCTCATATTCTTGGGCATTTGGTGTGAAATGGTCTCCAAGTGGAAACACCTTAGCTTATGTAGGTCAGAATATCCTTAAAACTTCAGATGTTTGTCCATTGAGCTCTACTGGAGTTATAAAATGGAACTTCAACTTGGTTGCATAATTTTTACTATACTCTGTCTCACTTCCCTTGTTTCTGTAATCTTGTATAGGCCATAGCTCCATGATTTACTTTGTTGATGATGTTGGTCCTTCTCCTTTAGCCCAAAGCGTTGCATTCCGAGATTTGCCTCTTCGTGATGTGGGTCAGCATCCACTCTTCTTTTACTTTTGGAAACTAGTCTTCTCCATGTGTTATATCCTGAATTTATATGCTACTTTCAATTTGCTTTTTCAGGTCCTGTTTATTTCTGAGAAAATGGTGATAGGTGTTGGATATGACAGCAATCCAATGGTATTTGCTGCAGATGATACTGGAATATGGTGTGTAACTCTCAGAAATATCTGCTTAATTATCTCTTTCTTAACTGTTTGCATATAATCAAATCCTTCAATTAATTTATACTCGTTTACAAATCTTTGTTTATGGTCTGTAGGAGCTTTATCAGATACATCGGAGAGAAGAAAGCGGCATCTTCAAATTCCAGTTACAGTTCGCAGGTACATACCAAATTTTATTTCTTGTTTTTGGTGCAATATGTCTGGTTTTAGCCTTTTCGAATAAAATATGATTGAAATGTACCTTATTCCTGAAGTGTTCCTATAAGATAGTAATCTTTCGGGTTTGTGTAGTTGCTCCTTCTTTTTTCCTTGGGGTTACTACTTTCCACTTGCATTATTTGTCCTGTTTTGTCTAACCCATCTTTTTATTATGTTATGTTTTCAGTTTTCCGAAGCATTTGGAAAATTCTACGGTAGTCAATCAAAGTCTGCAACAGCCAATGATGCTTCTGAATCACGTGGACGCGTTCATGATAACTGCATAAAGTAACTTTTTCTTAAGCTAACTTTACTTTAACCAAATCATTTGCCAGAAGACTGTCTCACTAACTCTTTTACTCGATTCTCCGTTAAGAGCCTGACGTGGAAGTTTACCTGAAAATTGCAGTTCTATTGTGCCTCTGAGCAAAGCAGGGAGTCCTAAAGTTATGCGATTCAGCACTTCAGGTCAGTCACTAATTCAAATGGAATCAGCCGATTCAGTTCTCAAAAAATAAACCAGCAGCTTCATTTACTCGCATATCGGTTTGTTATTTATAGGATTGGATGGCAAAGTAGCCATATGGGATCTGGAGAACATGGAACAAGAACTTGGCAATCAGTTTTAATAAACACACAAATAAAACAAATCTGGATCACAAGCAACGTTTTACTTATTAATTTGTATATCAGATTTCTTTTTTTGACTAAATGCCAGCCTTTTTTTTTTTTATAACTCTTTTTCCAATTTCGTATTTGTTTCACTTTGTAAACTACAATAATAAAAGGCCTTATTTTCTTGGTTTGTGTAAGGGCAGGTATTATTAATAAGTTTCTTGGCTTCATGATTTGATTCATTTAGTTAGCATCTGGTAATACATTTTTCTTTAATAGTACATTTTCAGCATTGTGTCGAAAGGAGTCCATATTGAACCACACATAAAACAATTCGCAAAATTTTCAAGTTCTTGAGAAGAAAAAAAAAGCTTTGGTCCTCCGAACTATGCCATATTTACCACAAAACGTATATTCAAAGACTAATCTTCTCTCAGAGAGCTGACATAAGTGTGATCCAGAAGATCAAATCTGCTGATGTGTAACAGGCAAAACTAATCTTCTTTGAATGTTTCTCACTTATTTGCAAATATAACTACTGTCCTCGTCCTAACCAACTTCCAGAGTACCTACTTTTTAAAGCATAAACTAGAGTTGTAACTCAGAAGCAGATATGCAGAGAAACACGACTTGGAACGATTGATTATATGTCTCCAAGATCCTTCCTTTTCGTCCCATAAGCAATATAGTTGACACTAATATCATCTGACAATAACCATCTTCCTGTTATTGGGTTGTACACAAATCCAGCCATCTCTTTCACCTGCAATACATAGTTTTCTAGTTATCACCTCTAGCAAAATCTATCAGATGAACAATCCTTCTTTTTGTGATATTACCACTTGCCCACATCGAGACATGCATACTGTTGTTTTGGTTTCAGTCGGCTTAAGATTTCTTATTGAAATTGACATAAGTGTTATTGAATGGGGAGGGATAGGCTTACATCGACTGAAGCATGTTGTAATATCATACTCAGTTCTTCAGGAGTTACAAAACTTGACCATTGATGTGTGCCTTTAGGAAGCTGCAAGGTGATTTAATATACAAACAACAAAATGAGTAACCAAGAACACATGAAGTAAGAAAAAGTGTTAAGTGTTAACAGAAGATAAATAAAGTGTGAAACTGAAGATTACCCAACGTAGGATGTACTCTGCTCCAACAATGGTTGATGCATATGCTCGCATAGTGCGATTAACTGTAGAAAGTATTGTAGCCCCATTGGGGATGGTCAATGCTGACAACGACTTGCAGAACTCTGCAGGGTTGGCTACATGCTCGATGACCTTCATTGTAGAAAATCAGAAAATTTGCCATAAATATGATGATATTAGAAGTGAGACATGGAACAGTATAAATATCAGGAAGTTTGACAAAGAGAAAGGGACATGCTGAAAAAGAGATGGACCAGCAAAAGGTACCTCTAAAGAGAGAACAGCATCAAACTTCCTGCCTTCATCCGCTAGCATTTCTGCGCAAGAAAATATTAGTTCGTATTTAAAAAGAGGAGAGGTAACAGATAATCAGCTTCTGTAGAAGAAAATTCCATGTAACACTTTATTTGATCATTATCTAAGATTAGGAAAAAAATACCTGCTGTAGTACATAGGTATTCAATCGTTGAAGTCACTGGATCCATATCCTGCAGTGACATTTTATTGGCATAAAAGAAAGAATAGAAGTCAAGATAGAGAAGGGGTTATATGAACTCTAGTCCTATGCCATAATGTGAAAACGTGTTCACTACTGCACAAGCATTCTGAAAGCTGCCAACCTTGACAGGACTGAAGTGTAGAGTTCAAATAAATAGGTATCCAAGAAAAGTACTTCACCAAATGGAGCACACAATTGCATGTAACATAACAATACAGTCACTGTATAAGTTATCTGAATGATTAATGACACAATTAAAGTAAGAGACCTTACAGCGTGAAGACGAGCAATTTTGACATTCTTATCAACAGCATCAACTCCTGTGACAGTTGCTCCCATCCGTGCTAGAGGCTTCAAAGAAAAAACAACAAGCCACCGCTCACCAAATCTTCTTTATAACTAACAACAATGTCATTTTGAGTGTAACCTCAAACGCTCAACCAACAAGCCCAAAAGGAGAGATCACAAAACTCGAAACTATTACCAACTTTATCTACTTGCTAGACCCTAGATTGGTCTCATACTAGGAAGAACGAAAAAAATCATATGCAAACTAAGGTATGCAGGAGCTCATGAAAAAAATACCTCAGAAAGTAGTCCGCCACCGCAACCTATATCGATAAATCTCAGTCCTTCAAAAGGCTTAGCAGAACTCGGATCCTTACTGGAAAAATAAATAAATTAATCCAACAGAGAAGGATAGAAGAAACCAAACTATTCACAAGAAATGCACCTGAAATGCCTGCATAAGGTCGAGCGGATGAAAGCCAACCGAGTTGGATTCATTTGATGCAACGGTTTAAAGGGCCCTTCAGAATGCCACCTTCGTTTAATAACACAAGAGCAGAGAAATCATGTGAACCTTTATATTCTAAGAATCAATGAATACATTTCTTGAGTCAAGCTTAGTAAACTTATCACATCTTCCAAAACAGTAGCTTGAACTTAAATAGTCTAACAGCTTATAGACCAGATTCAATTGCTTGAATAAAATCCAATTGTTCCAAAACCACTACAACAAGAATCAACCTCAATGAAAAAGATAAAAGCCAAGTATATTTTCAAAGCATCCAACTTTTGATCGTTTCATAGAAATGAAACTCCTTCTCCTTCAAATTAAAAGCACTATAGCTATGTACGAATTTCAAAGCAAACGAGACGAACCATGTATCAGCAATGGCAGAGAATTTGGCAAGTTCATCTTCATTCAAAGATGTTGTTGTTGACGATGTGCTTCGGCTTTTATTAGAAGCTTTGCCTTCAAGCGTTTGCATTTTCGGATGCGAAGAGGAAAAAGATGCAGCCGACGAATCAGTATCTGAAGTCGAGAACAGGCGCTGGTGAAGTAAACACGACGGAGGTATGATTTGGGAAGAAGATAAGCGTCGAGCAGAGAGAAGAAGCCTTTGTAGTTGATTCATCGACTTCGACGCCAACATTTTCGAAAGATCAGAGATGGCTGAGACAAAGAGAAAGCGATCACGAGTTTCGGAAACGGCGGTCGGAAATTACTGACGTCGGCGGAGTAAACGAGCGAAATTGAAGAAGAGGGCAAAATTGGAATTTGGAATTCTTGAAGGATGTAATCTTAATGGGCCTAAAACTATTGTAAGGCCTATTAAATATTGAGATTGATGATAATCAGTAACACAATTAGAGAAAAATATTTAGACTATTTTCCTACTTTTGATATAAAATTTAGTATATTTTTCATAATTCTTCTATAAAATGTTTTATTATTTCATTTTAAAAAATTTGGTCTAAGGAAATAATTAATAGGATCGCACAAAAGTTCAAAAGAGTAGTTTGATTTTGATATGTTGGAATCAGTTTATTTCACTTTCTGCTTATAGTATTTTTTGTAACAAAGGTCCCACGATCGAATGAGAAATCTCATTCTTATATACAATCATTATAATTTAAGAGATCCGGGTAGGCTTTCATTAAAGTGTGTAAATATCACATCGGCACATACAAAAACTAATATATCCTGGATACACAAAATATTAGAGGGCAAAGACATTGGTAATAAATCTTATTTGATAATGTGATATGGTGTGTCCACAAAATCTTTCTTCTTACTAGAGATTAGCGATTTAATACAGTTGATTCAAAGACTAGCAATCCCCTAATGATGGGGATAAATACTTTCAAACCGGACATCCGGGTGAGATAAATAAAGATTCTGACAGTGAATTTTCAGATCCGGATCCGCATAATGAAAAAATTTAGACCCAGATAACGGATATCCGATCCTAAGATTATTTGCAATAGACGTCAATATTTTATGTTGAATTTAAATATGATAATCAAAATCTATTAGAATGTTATAATTTTATTAAAAGTTGAGATATTTTTATACTAGTATATAAGATTTATGGGTCTCTCCTCCATTCATTGCAAATTGATTTTGAATAAGAAGCCATAACTCCTAATAAAATTTGATTTAAGCTTTTAATGAGATTTGTGTTTGTGTCTACGTTATGTGCACTCGAAAGCAGACAATAGTATTTCTACCATCGATCATGATGATAGCTCGGGCATTCTGCCTCTGAATGTCTTAAAAACGTTTTTTCAATTTATTATGTTGGATTTAGTTTGTTCAATGTCTTTCGAATGAACGAGACACATTTTTTACCAGCAATTACGGAAACTTGAATGTTTGGAATGATTGATTAGGTAGAGTAGAATTTTAAAACAAAATGATGATAAATAAAAGTAACTTTTTTGAAAACCTTATTTTATGTATGTATTTCATCAAAATACTAATATCAACTTGACATTTGTTCTACCTTTTCGATTTACTATTCACTAATATTCTATTACACCACACTAATCACAAGGTTCACAACTAATGGTGTATGAAGCGTGTTTGTGCTTCAAACTTTGCAGCGAATATTCAAACTTTTTATCTATAAAAAAGGAAGAGTGTGGGGCATTAAAAGGAGCTGTCTCATAGTTGGTAATGTCAATTAGAAGCTGGCAATACAATACATGTAGGACAATTCAATCATCGACCCATTTGTATAGATAATGCAACCCAATTAGTTCACCTTCATACAAAGAAAAAAAGGCATTTAAACCGAACCGAACCGAACCGACCCAACCCAACCAAACTCGAACCGACTTAAACCGAACCCAAGCTTAGACTCAAACCATTCGGTTGGGTTTATTCTCAACCCAAATGGGTCGGTTCGGCTCGGTTTAAAACCGAACCGAACCGATAACCCAATATGTTTATTTAATTAATTAGTTAATTATATTAATAATATTATAAATAACTAAATATGTGTTTATTTTTACTTCTATAATAATTTGAATAAATGTAAATTAGATTTAATTATCTCTAAAACTCTAACCCTAAAAAACTTAGGGTTCTCCTTCTAACTTATAAAGAGTAAAACTCAAAAAGACTTTCATATTTCATTCTCGATGATATTGCGTGAAGCAATCTTCCGAAATCATGGAAGATTGCTATGTTACGTTGTTGGATTTCATTTTCCTTTTCTTCTAATTACTATGGTTGAGTTTTTTTAGGTTTTTCTTTTCATGGTTAATTTGAATTATTCAATTTAAACTTACAATTTGAACTTGAAATTTAATTACCTTATCAATTTCAATGTTCAAAGACAATAATTTTTTTTGTTTTGTTACATTAATTGATTTTTTGAACCGAACTCAAACCGAACCAAATATAAACTGACCCAAACACAAACCAAACCAAACTAACTTCGGTCGAGTTTGGTTAGAGTTTTACGAAACCCAAATAAACCGAACCAAACCGAACCCAAATCGAATCCAAATTAAACCGAAATGCCCACCCCTAAAAAAAACCCCCAAAATATCTCATTGATAAGCTTATACTCATGACTTTTGTTAATTTATAAAGATTAATGATGTCAATAAGCAAAATCAAGAGAGTTGATAAAGGAAGTCACGTTTGGAGATTCTCTCTATAGTGTTTCGCTGGAGGCGTTGAAACAGCCCTCTTTAACAGCTCACTTGGTTTTCACATTCCTAAATTGTTAAACTCCTCTCAATCTTCTTCTTACTTATTCTATAAATCTCTGTTTCTCTCTGACAATTTATTCCAACGCAAAAAAAAATGGCTGACGCTTTCTTGGAGAAGGCAACTTCTGCTGTCAACGAAGCCAAAGAATCCGTTACAGCCACCGCTGAAACCACTACTGAAACCGCCAGGAGCGCTCTTACTGACGCTCAGAAAACCGTTGAAGCCTCCACTGAAACGGTCAAGACCGAGGCTGAAGCCGCGCCAAAGAAAGCTTCTGATCTGTCTACACAGGTTAAGTCTTGGTCACACCCTTTTACATGTTTCTTTTTTTTGGGGGCCAACAACTAATAAACTCGATCGTGTGATGGTTTGATCAGGCAAAGGATGCAGTGGATAAAGGTCTATCAAGAGGTATAGAAGGAGCCAAATCTTTGCTTCAAGCTTTTGAAGAGAAGAGTAGCGATATTTCCTCAAAGCTCGTTGGAGGTGTTACCAATCTTGTGAGTGGAGCATCAAGCAGCACCGTGGCAAGCCGAGACCTTCCAGTATCTACAGACAATCAGGTCACAGATTTATGCAAAACCCTATTTTCTTAAAACCCTTTAAAAGAAAAATTAAGTTTATTGTCTCTTATACCAAAAGATTGTAATTCTCATCATGTTTTAACAATTGAATATATGCGTTTTGCAGCCTCTGCTAGCGTCTGGCGAAAAAACACCGTGGTGGAAGAATTGTTGTGGAGTTCTTGATTTTTTCAAGAAAGATACTTAAGATAAAAAGATCCAAAAATGACAAATTAACGAGTTTCACAAGATGAAGAAACAGAGCACTAGAAGAAGAAAGAACCCCCATCCTTTTGATTATTTATTTCCTTCCTTTTGATTTTGATTTTGATTTGAGATTGTGTCTATCTGTTTTTGTTTGTTTTATGTTTTGTTGATATCTTGATTGTTTCCCAAGAACTTGTGTAAGAACCCAAAAAAAAAAGACAAATAAAAAGGTAAATTTCTTTGTGATGAGTGTTGGATTCTAAGACCATCTTTATTGGTGGTCTCTTAACACAACTCTTAAGTTAAGAGATATGTCTTATAACTAACAAAAGTCTCTTAAAGTCTCTTAGCTAAGAGACTTTTGTTAGTTATAAGACATATCTCTTAGCTTAAGAGTTGTCCTAAGAGACCATTGATAATGTTGCTCAATGAGCTTCAAAAGCTAATCACAACAAGTTTCTCTAGTCTAAAACGAAACAAGACTTCGTAAAAAAAAAACTTAAGCTCCTGTTTCATGAAGACCTACCTCAAATTCTGATCTTCTTCTCTGACTCTTTCAACGCCTCTTCCACCATACTCATCTTTTTCTCCAATTGATGCTCCACTGTGGGAGAAGTTGTCAATCTACTATTTACTATTTCGCCAATTATGAAAGGTTTTTTTTTTTTTTTTTTTTTTAATCCGTAGTGAATGAGTAAAACAGTCAACAATAAAATTGAAAAGCAATAATGGGATAGGATTCGATTAGGGTTTGAGCTTCAACAATGATTTTTTGAACGAATCAAATGTAAAAACTGATAACTTGATATAGACTGCTTTGTTATGAATGGACGGCTGAGAGAATTCAGGAATCGGCACGATTGATGCAAAGTTCTACAAAAAAAGGAAACGAACCTTTGAGGAACAAAATGAAAAAAAGTAAGAGCAAAATAAATTTACATGAATTTAAAACATTTTATGAAAACCCTTTGACAAAAAAAAATAATTTTAAACATTTTTGTTAAAAAGCTTTCATTAAAATAGAAAGAGAATAAGTCACATATTGTGGTGATCGATATATAATGGTAAAATATTTATTTTTTATTTTATTAATATCAAAGCATATTTAATCCATATTCAGTTGACAAAAGAAAACTTAATCCAATTCTTCTTACAATAACTTTCCTATTTCAACTAAATTGCATCCATTTTTTAATCAAGCAATTAATTTCAGTTAAGAACACGACAAATGGATAAAAAATAATTAGATTTGTCGACATTGATAAAACTGTTTAATTTGAAAGTTACTATTGCAACAAAACATAAAATAGTATATATATATATTAGAAAATTATGTTGACAAAAAAGAAGATAGATTACTCTTTATTTTTTTATTTTTTGTATAAATAAAATTCTGACATGGTAAAAGAGTTCACATATATAGCTATTACCAAATATAAATATTATCAAATGGAATTAGTTCAATACAAGAAATGGCAGTTTGGTTCTGCAGGGTTTGAATTCGAACATGGTATTTGTTTGGAAATTGTGATGAATGCTTTACAAAACTTCATAGACATATCAACGGTTACTATATAATATCAACGATTAGGATCAGAACTGAAAATAACTATCTTCTTTAATTAGACTAAAAAAATCCGGCTTTCAGATTAGATATTACATAACTAAATTAAGGTCATACTAATTAAGTGGATATAAAAACAAAAGCAAAGAAGACGAGAATAGAAGTAGAGAAATGAGAAAGTTGTGGTGGAGGAGGTTGAAGCTTCGGGCTTGGGAGTTGGATGTGACGGTATTCTCCCGAAAAGACCTAATCCATCTTCACTTGTTACGTTCAATATCGATTCACTCGTGCTGCGATTATCACATTCAAAACCTTATCATCTCATAAATTCTTATTATATGTGTATTTAGTAACTTTATAACATATCAATTAGTTTTTGAGAGATTTTTCACCTTGTAGACGGAAAGTGGCATGATCCTAAACCTGTCAACAGAGAGAAACCTTTCATTTAGATGGTTCTTTTCTCGATATACATATATATATATATATATATATATATATATGTGACGAAAAATATTGATATGGAACACATTCTAAACCTCTTGTAGTTTAGATATGTAGCCCGATCATGTGGAAACCGTTAGCATTGCACACAGAAAGTAACTACTGTTTTAGACAAAAAAAAAGTAACTACTGTTTAGAAGCTCTGGTACTAAGTGAATGTTTAGAGTTTTCTTATATCTAATATAGTGAATTCTAAATTTATTATCAGATCTAAAGTCGTAATATAATATGAGGTAAGATGTAGTGTTCAACTTCGTTTATAACTTGTTGATTTGTTTCGTCAATAGCATATTCGTACTTATTGCATCCCGTCATATAATATCCACCATCTTAACTAATTAATTCATGGATCTATAATTGTTTTTTTCTTCCCAATTGACCAATTAATTAAAGTACCATCACTATTATTGGTTGTTACAGTTGACAATATGATACAATCACTAAATTCCAACTAGTAAACATATATAAACATTTATTTACTCAAACATCAATATTTAATTTTTAGCTAGTGTACTACTAGCTAATCCTACAAAATGTAAGAGTTCAAAATTACCAAGTTCGAACACCAACGGTAGAGACAAGAGAGATTGACTAATTAATTTGTTTCCAATCCGGAAGAATTATAGATTTAATGTCTGGTTAAGGAAATATATTCTTTTAAAATAAATTTTTAAATAGAATAGATAGGACTTACTCGGATCAGCACTGATAGTGACAGCAGTTCCATCAAAATTGCAACTACTAGGGATTGGATTCTTCTGGTAATAACTGTTGAAGGCAAAAGAGGCATGTGCTCTCAACGAGTTGGGGTTATAACAATTTCCTCCTTCTTGTATCTCCGAGCAGTCTGCTCCACCGATCCCACATGCATAGTCCAAAGCCGCTTGTAACGCCATTTTTGCAACGTTCTCTCTAGCAACGCACCAGCTCTGATCACCTGGATAGGCTACACCGTGTGGTGGCGATGGAATCGTTAGTGGCGTTGTGGCCACCGCGGAAGCGTCAGAGTCGGAGTTAGGGACCACGGTTGTTGGTGTGGTGGTTGGGTTTGTGGCTAATGGTGTGGTTATGTCTTTTTCTTCTTCTATTGGTTCAATACTAGCTTTTGTACCTGTCAAATCATAGTTAATGTTTTTATTCATTGATTAAGATGTTGAAAACATTAATAATGATGTCTAAGTATAAGATTTGGTTGGTAAAGTTAGAACACTTAAATGTCATGTCTCTAACATTTGTTTCACCAATTTGTAATTATATAAGTGGATACAAAATTTAAACCGTGGTAAAGAAAACAAAAAGTAAAAAAACGAAGACCAAACCATAGAAACCAAAAACAAAAAGACAATAGAGAATCTTTGAACTGAACAAGAAAAAGTAACGACTAGAATATTTGGACTCCACACCAATTCACGTGTAAGAAAAAAAAAAAAAAAAAAGCAACTTCGTGTTTTTGTTTTTTTGAAATTGCAGAAGAATTACCTTTTCAGAGTATTAATAATAACGAAAAGAAAAACACGAACCTCGAAGAATATAAACGGAAAATGGAACTTTACGTAAGAAAATATTTTAGAAAATAATAACAAACTCTGTAGAAGAAAAACAAAACTAACTAAGACATGGATCAGAGTTTAAAAGAACAACAAAAAATCCCTTAGACATAGATTAACTTTCCGCAGCTTTTAAATACCAAACTTCAAGTTATTAAACCTTATTTTATTTTTCTTTTGAATAAACAAAATTTCAAGTTATGGGTTATATATTAAACAGACTTAAAAAATATTTTTAATGTGACTACTTTTCTGGAACAAAAGTTTTCATCTTCTTTGAATGATGGGTTGAAATATGTAACCTGAGCTGAAGAGGAAGGAGAGAAGAAGAAGACTGGTTACTAGTCTGAAGCCTTTTCCCATTCCAAGAAGCTAAACCCAAACTCTTCTTCTCTCTAAAAGCTCTGAATCGTCCCCGTCTTTTGTCAACGAATCTTTCAACGATATTAGTAAGGGCGTGAGGGAGAGAAAGAGAAGCTATGTGTTTAAAACTTGAGTTTATGGAGTTGAAAAAGGAGGGAAGAGTTCTGGAGAAATCAAGGGAGAGAGAGAGAAGTAATGATTTGTTTGGGATTTAGGTTTTTGTGGGCAATGTATAATGTAATGTGGGCTACTTCTAGTGAGTGATGTTAGTAATGATGGTTTTTCTCTCACACTTTTGATTCTTCTATTCCCTGGTTCCTCCTTTCTTTACTTTTTTTTTTTCAATCACAATAAGGACTTTTCCATTAGTTTTCTTTCTTTCTTGAACCTATACATAAGCATAAATAATTGGGTCCCTAAATAATTTGCCGCTAAAATAAGCATAAACAATTTGAGTAGTGGGCCTCAGATAGCTAAAAGATATAAATTTAACTAAAGGTTTTAACATAAACAACAACAACAAAAAAAAAAAAAAACTAGAGACTTAAACAAAAGGGAGAATTTGCCAAGTGGTAATAGTCTGAGATTTTAGTTTGGTAAAAGACAGAACAGTACTTGCCGGAAAAGAGATCTATACTGTGTATGTAATAACGATTAAACTAGCTATAAATGATTACTAATACACTTAATGATATGATATATATTCAGTCAATTTGATATTTTGGATGATCACAAAAAGTTGGTTACAAAAGAAAATGACAAACTTCAAATATTTAAAGTCGCAGAGGTTGAAGTTTATCGAAGATTTATGAGTTGTGGTCATAGTCAAAAGGATGTCTCAGATTATGATAACCTAGAAAGTTAAAACAATAATAATGAATGAAATTCTGAAAAAAAAAATAGATTTTATACTCATTACACAGCCACAAAGTTCAGTAATTATAACATTTTTAGCTAGGATTTCATAGTGCTAATATACGTATGAAATAATATTGATCGGTCAAACTATGCCATCCGAGAAGATCTGAAGATTGCACGTCTAAAAATTCACCTGATCCAAGTTGCCAAATTTTGTTATACATGGATGTGAATTTTATTGAAGGTAACTCTACTCAAAATGTTACGCCAGCCACCCCCACAATTACGGCTTTTTGATAGCTTCGACCTAAAAGATATACTATAATATTTTATTTTGTTTAGTTTCAACCTTTTAGGATTTTGTAAGATTTTTAGTATAGTATATTTAATTTTCTACTTTAGTAAATTAGTATATTCTCTATTTCTTTCCGGTAAATCTATCGATAACTCCACGAGTTCAAAAACCTTGATGACTTCCACATTCTTACAGTGACGAGTTTCTTGTGTCATCGACGAGTTTCTTGTGTCATCGTCGTTATTTTCAGTACGTCACTTTCTCATTCCACATCGATATTCGCCTACAATTGGATATAATGGAATGGTTCATTTATTATATATCAATAATTTATGTTTATATGTCTAATTTGAATTGTCACACACAAAAACAAATGTCCAACTTGAATTAATCCCGCCATGCATGCATGATCCATGAGATCTACTCTCTTATCTATGTTTGAACTTAAGCGCTCTTGCTTTGTTAAAGCGATTTTCAAAGAAAAAAAACGATATTCATTCTTGAAATAAAAAGTAATTTGAAGCAACAAAGTTTGATGTAACTTATCAAAAAAAAAACACAAAAGTTTAATGTAATACCGAATTTGAAATAAAGGCTATGATTGGTAACCAATTTTAAAGCTGTACAGCTTTGACAGTTACCAATCACAAAAGCTTTATGAAAAGCGGTACACTAAAAAAAAAAAAAAAAAAAAAAAACTGTTTTTTTGGACAAAAACAAAAATAAATTAAAACGGTTACGGTTAAATACAGTTATGGACGGTTACGATTAAATACGGTTATAACGGTTACGGTTAAATACGGTTATAACGGTTACGGTTACGGTTACGGTTACGTTTACAACGGTTACGGATAATTATGGTTATAGTTATTTGATGACTACAATACGGTTAATATCGGAGGCGAAATCTTACGAGGTACCTAACTTATTATAATACTTTTCATAAAATCAAAATGTATGTTACAAACCAAATTTTCTTCATCTCGAGCAAAATAACAGTATAACATATTTGTTTGAGAAAAAGATCATTTTTTATAACGTAGATTTTTTCATATGCGGTACCATTTACTTTTTTGAAAATCTTAATCTGAATATTCGATAATTTTTTTTGTATTATATGGAGTTACAATTATATTTTTAAAGTTTTAACTATGCGGTTAACCATATGGTTAAATAACGATTTTCATATGTTTACCGTTAATTAACGGTTACGGTTAATATATATTTTTAACTGTAATTAATTATTTTTTACGGTTACGTTTTTTAACCATTTTATACGGTTACGGTTGAGAAACGGTCCGGTTACGGTACAACATATGGTTACGGTTAGCTTTTGGTCATGCCTAGTAAGCATGACCAAAAGCTAACCATAACCGTATTTTGGATCGTAACTAGACCGTTTTTCAACCGTAACTGTATAAAACGGTTAAAACCTATAATCATTCACCGTAAAACTAGATTAGTTACGGTTAAAAAAAATATACTAACCGTAACCGTTAATATACCGGAAACGTATCAAAACCGTTATTTAACAGTACGATTAGCCGCACGGTTAACCGTATTATTAACCGCATAATTAAACTTTATAAAATATAATTGTAGCTATGTATAATGCAAAAAAAAAAAAGTCTCGAATGTTCAGATAAAGATTTCCGAAAAAGTAAATAATACAGTCTATGAAAAAATCTCATTTGAAATAATGGTTTTTTTCTCAAACAATTATTTTGGAATGTTATATTACTCAAAATAAAGAAAATTTTATTTATTATAGGACTAGTAAATTCATATTATTATTCTAACAATAAAATATTGTTCATTCTATATAATCTTAATTTTCATATGTAATTATATACTAAAGTACATTTCTATATAATTTTTTCTTTCTTTCTAAATTTTTAATATTATTTATTATGTGTACCGCTATGATGTTTTTAATCATAATAAATTTTTAAAATTTGTTATGCGTTATTTTTTTGTACAGCTTTCGTGTTTTATTCTTTTGTACAGTTTTACACTATTCCCTAACAGCTAACAGCTCCAGCTAACCGCTCCAGCTAACAGCTAACAGCTTGTTACCAATCAGACCCAAAAAAGGTAACTAAACGATAATAGAATACTCTTTAGTTTGTTAAATATAGCAAATTGATTGATTTAACTTTATGCTGATGTAGGACCCAAATATGTTACAAACTCATAACTTTTGACTAATCTCACACCAACTTTGTGTATTTATTATTCACATTTATGTTGTTGTACATTATTCATTCAAATCCACGTTACTGTCTCATTCCAACCTCTAGGTAATTAACTAGGGTTAATTTAATATAAATACATAGAAGAATGAAAAATAAAGAAACTAGCCATCATTAATTATTATTTAGTTCTCTCTCTTCCTTTTTTCAAAAATGCTAAAACTACCCCTTCTTATATATATACGTTAACAAAAAAGATAACGAGATAAACATTTTAGTTGGATTCCGACAATAGTTCTGGTCAAATTTTCGGTAATGAATCAGTTTCTATTTTAGATAGTTAATTATTTTGTTAGCATGATATCTATTTTTTGTTTAATATGTTAAATAATTTGATATCGCGATAAATTTACACATTATATATTAAATATGTTTATTGATTTAAAATTGTGAATCAATATTTTATTTATTTATGTATATATATATATCAGTTCAATGAAAAACGATTAGTCTTTCTTTTACATGATTAACATGATAACATTTATAACAACATGTTATATATAATGTTAACGAGCTAACATATTAAATATCCGAATAATATTTGTATGAACATGGTAAGATAGTTTATATATGGATAATATCAATATTAACGTGTAACTTATAAATAATATTCACCAATAGATAATTGATAACGAGATTAGCATGATAACAAAAAAAATAACCGGTTTGTTTTACATCTGCTCACCAACGAAGTAGGCTGAGAAGACGGCGACACTTATATGAAGCCTAGGAAAAGCATGTCCAATTGGATTCGAAAGCAACATATGCTTTTTTATACATCTCTTCGCCTTGTCGGAAGAACCCAAAAGCTTTATCATTTTTTCAGGATGAATCTTGACCGTCCGTTATCTCTTTCGTGTTTGCCTCCGAACTCTTGAAGAAACACAACAAAATTGTCGGAAAATGCATATCATTGATGATGATAATAACATACATAGTAAGAGATGCAAAGCTTATTCGACGACATTGATGTTTTGTTGGAGAGATGATGGAGGTGATAAGAGAAGAGACGTCGGAGGAGACACTGAAAAAACATGATCGAAGAAGAGAAAAACCTATACTCATTTTTGATCTTCATCTCCCTTAAATCGAAAACCAGTCACCTTAATCTTTGACTTCGCCGAATCAAAATTACCACGGTCAAAAGTACCACCCTCTCGAAACCATGATTTAATTTACCGTCACAATGGAGCCACACAACTCACTCGTTTTGCTTCTCCAGTCAGTTTCGGTTCTCCACCAAAAAGATTTCTCAATTTCACCACTTGTGTCAATATTAATTGTGGTTTTGTTGGTTTCGTGGAGAAAGAAAGAAAGAGGAGAAGATAAAGAGAAGTGATAAGAATGTCTTAAGGGTGCTATTGTCTTTTGTATATACACAGTAAATGTCAAATAGTGTGGAGGAGAGAGAATTAATTATTGAATCTTTCGTTGGCATTTCTTATAGATTTCCTTTAACTATCTATAGTTATATTTAAAAAAATTTAGACCTTTATTATTAAAGTTTGTATCTTTATTTGCAGTGGATGCGGAATTACCTTGTTGAAAAGTTGCGGTAATATTTGCAATATTATAAGGTTAAAATGTGCATTTAATTTAGAGAATTGATAAAGTAACCAAAGATACAACTTTCGGTGTTGCAAAGTAATGATAAGAAAAGAATAAAATTGGTTCACTGTTTCTTCTCTTTATTTGAGTAATAATAAGGTACGGAATGAGGAATTCACATGAATATGAGAGCAAGTGGGGCACGAATTGGTTAGCAACAACATAGGAAATGAAAAAATAGTTTATTTCGGGCCGAATCTATCCAAATTTAGATTGATATAAATCTCATGGTTGTATGAAAAGAATATATCACTCCTTTTTTGAACTGAATTATTTTTAAAGAGTTTTCAATTTTCATTAAAGAATTGTGTGGATACAAACTTTGGATCGACAACTTCAGGTTTTACAAAATCACCAAGAGAAGCTAAATTTTTCCATAGAGGAGGTTTTGTAAATTATTGTGTTTATTAAATGATCTAATGGTAATTTAGGTTAGGTGGAAAGCGAATAATGTCTCTTTTATATTTTAAACACAGAGAAATCTGGTGGGAGTATGTTGTATCTTTTAGATTTTACTACTAATGCAACTTTCGTTCCAGTTTTCTATTGTAACCATGTAGACAGAAATATAAATGTAGCTCTAGTGAAAGTGTCAAAATGGTTTAATATGTCCGCTAAGGAATGCACACTAGTCGAAAACGTCAAAGACTTGCTAATTGATTGTATTTTTTTTGTCAAAAAGTATGTATGTCTATAAATCTTCAATTATTTTTATCTTAGAAAATAATAAGTCAAGAGTGATTTTAAAGATCCCTATTATCCAATACGAAAAGAATTTGTTACATCGTAAGTTCCCCTAAAAACTCTATGATATTTGTTATAGACAGAGTCAAACGAAAGTTCTTAACCTCTTATGCTACATCTTTGGATACAACTAAATCTTCTTGCACTCTTTTAAAAACGCATTTCGTAAAACAAAAAAGATAAATGAGAATGCAGAAGCTTGAGATCTTACTGTTTCACACTCTCATTGATTCATCATCTTTATCACCACAAAGACTCAGAGTGATGAACAGAATCATATCATCACAAGGAACAGAATTGATCCAGCACAAACTCTCTCAACACACTTCCTTCTTCGGCATCAAGCTATGGATCCTCATTACAGCTTCTGCCTCCATAGCCTTCCTCTTAGTTCTCATCATTTCTGTCCTCCTCTGTTTCATCTTTCACAGGAGAAGGTGTAGACAAGAACCATTCAGACTAAGATCAAAGCTTTGTCTGCCTTTATCACACATTCCCATAAATAACAAACGACAGATTCCATACAACCGTTGCGGCGATGATGTAGAGAGCCAGAGAATCTCTCAGGTTGGTTGGTCCTCTGCTCATCTTTCCTACTACACACGCAGCTTCTCCTCTACCGGCAGCTTTGGAAGCTTCAATGTGTTTACGTTCTTGGAGATCAAGAACGTGACAGATAGTTTTGCAGATTATAATCTGATTACTACAGGAGATTCTTCAACGGTGTATCGCGGAATCTTGATGGGTACAGTCACTGTTGCTGTCAAACGGTTCTTCCCCATCCATCAAAGGTTTTTACATTTTTGCTTGACCCCTTCATATATCTTAGAATCTTAATATTTTTTGATCTGAGATCCGAGTAAAAATCAGGTATGAAGATAAAGATTTCATAACAAAAGCTGAGATGATTGCAAATGTTAGACACAAGAATGTTGTGAGACTTCTTGGATACTGCATTGAAGGAGATGAGAGGTATATAAATATATTACCTCTGATGTGTGACTTGCGTTAGAATGTAGACTCATAGTTAAGTCTGAATAAATTTTAGGGTTCTTGTTTATGAATACGCTGAGAAAGGCGATTTGCACGAATGGCTTCATGGATCTTCCGGGAGAAATCGGCCTCTGACCTGGAGGAAGAGGATGAAGATCATTCAAGGAGTAGCAAAAGGGTTTGATATGATCATGACACATTTTGTTTTCTTGATTTCTTTTATGTATGAATGATTGTGATGGTTTAATTATCTTTTTGTTTTGATCAGCCTCGCGTATTTTCACGAGGACATAGAACCAAAGATCACTCATCAAGACATAAGACCAAGCAAGATTCTTCTTGATTATCAATGGAACCCTAAGATACTTGATGTTGGATTCATTGGTCACAGTGATATTCCAACTTCGATTCCTTCACCTAGTAATCTGGATGAGAAAATCGACGTTTATTCCTTCGGGACTTTGATAATGGAGCTTGTCTCTGGAAGAGTCTCTGTAGACCAAAGTTCACCACATGTGAGAGTTCATATACATAATACATATTTTATCACAAAGCCAATGTTAGCTTACCGGAAACAATGTTGTTCTTGGCAGGTTTATCTAGTGGACTGGATCAAAGAGATGGTGGCAAATCATATGATAGTAGATGTTCTTGATCCTAGCCTTCCCGAATTTCCTACAATAAAGGAACTCAAACGGATTGTGTTGATTGCCTTGCGCTGTGTCGATCTCGAGGTAGAAGAGAGACCTAAAATGGGAGATGTGATTCACATGCTCCAACCACATGACTTGCTGTTGAGTAACAATGTAATAAAACTTTTGACATTTAGTTTCTTGTTCCCCAAGCTAAAAAGATAGTAATCCTTATTTTGTTCTTTCTCTGATGCCAGGCAATACAGAAGCCTCAGAAGGTTACCCGGTCACACGAGGTTTCTGCAGTAAGTATTAGACAATGAGTCCCAAGCAGCAATAAATGATTGCTAACTTAAGATCTTCTGCTATGTATTTTATGTTACAGCAGTCTCAGTTGTATTGATTTGTTTTGCATCCCTTATTCGAGTTTATGTAGGATTTTGCTTATTGTAATTGCAAGAGCCAACTTTGTGACGTATTTTACAAGCATATTAAGTCAAGGCTCTGAAACGCAGCTTGTTATATGACTTCTCTATATACCACATGTGTTGCTATTGAAGAAGGTTGATGCGGGATGGTAATCAAGAAGATAAATTTCTTCAACCATATATGTAGAGGAACACTAACAAAATAGAAACAAATTATAATTTCTATAAAGTATTAAACAACGATTTCATAATCTTGGTTTCCAAAGAACTTGAATAACAATATAAAAACTATAGAATAATGAAGTTTGAAGCCTAATGACATATATGATCCTTACTATAGATCAGAGATTGATTACATCTTGAAAGGAGATCACAGTCTTGAATTGAGTGGAGAAAAGAAGCTGAGATGATGGTGAAACCCTATACATAGATTCTAACTCTTTTCTCATCCGCCTTTCATCTTCACCAGAAGTAGTTGATTCAATGGAGATTCTAGCTCTTTTTAAACACTTAGAGTTGGCCAGTATATATTTTACGACTTCTTTCTCTTCGTAATGTCCTCCATATTGTTTCCACTCAAAGATCTCAAGATGGGCTGATAAACACTCTGGAAAAGAACTTTGTCGGTTGAACAAACGTGGGAAACCCTCATGTCGTATATTTGACTGTGAAGCAACATTAAAGAATGATATTAATATGATGTAACTAATATGTTTAGTTCAATTGAAATTTATTTGTCCATCAAAACTGTATGTGAGGGGGGTACGAACCGTGTCGATGCGAAGAACTTTTAGTTTAGGAGAATTTTGAAGAAAATGCATGAATGGTTCCAACCATTGTATCCGAATTGGACGAATAGTACACGTTCTAAGCTGGGAGAACTTAATGGAGGTACAATACGGATCCTGCAATGAACATATATAACAACAAATAAGTAGACTTTGGAAATTTGATCATCATAATAACAATAAGATCAATGAATAAAAAAAAAAAAGTGAGCTTGAAATTAAAGGCACTATGCGTACAGTTTTAGATCTCAAATATAACTTGAGATACATGACGGAGGAAAGAGATGCCATAAACTTGTCATCAAGATAACAATTTAAGCCAACAAGGGCATAATCAAGGCGAGGTTCGTTTTCAATGGAGCAAGAGTTTCCCGAATGATCTTGGATGAAGAGTTTTCTTAAAGTTGCAGAACCAATAACCAAAGATCCAACATTCCCTACTCCTAGTTTCAAGTAAATATAACATAAGGTCTCTAGAGAAGGCACGTTCACACTAAACATTGTCACGTTGTCTTGGTCATGTCTTTCTACATATAAATGCTTGAGAATACGACAACCTGATAAAAACCTAACAAGAGAATCTTCATCTTTATATACGACAGACTCAAGGGAAAGAGTTTTTAGGGATGGGAGGCAAACTGGAGAAGGAACATCCACGAGAATCTTGTCGGAAACGTAAAGAGAAACAAGTTTATCGCATATGTAAAAGCTCTCCGGCAAGCTGATAGGCTTTGACAACTAGCTGAGCTTGAACCGAAGCTTATGCGCCCTGCACTTAACTACATTGACAAGAAACTTTCCAACATCATTATCAGGACATCTTGCACCGAGTTCTATAATCAAGCTTTCTATTACAGGAGCCTTATGAAGTTGCAATGACTGGTCCATAAACCACCAAACACTTCCTTTCTTTCGATGATTATAGTCACTATCCATGTACGTGAGTTGTGGTACCATCTTCCAAATAGATTGCCATCGTTTGGACAAAAGCATGGTAACCACTGCATCCTCTGTAGAGAGATACGACAATATCTTGATGAGCAAATCATCGGGTAATTCACTAATCGTCGTCCCAACCATTGGTGCAGCTTTGTCCCAACCTATCATCTTATTCTCAATGACGAAGCTGTACCAATGTTTTAGGGTTAATAAATTGAATTTGCTTAAAATCTGTTTGCCGTTTAGTGTTGATTGTTTTTAATAACTATGTATTTAATGCGATAATTATGAAATTATATTATATTTAAGAATCTGCCATCAAAATTGATTTTTTTTTTTACTTTATGTATTATATGATGATTCAAAACAGTTAAAAACAAATCAAACAAAGATGATAGGAAAATCATAATTATAAATCTTAATCAAATCTTCTAAATATCTAAATTATTAAATATGGAATATCCGGTGTATGAGTTGGGTTAAATATAACCCGATCCAACAAATTTTTTGTGAAGGAATTTTAAAAACAGGTTTGGTATCCGATATACCCGTAAGCATTTTTACCTACCCGTCACCAAAGTGTTGCAAAAATACTAGTATAGATATTTAAAACGTTTAATAAAGTTAAACTTTTTCTAAGTAAATTCATAAAATTATTATATAAATGTGATCAAATTACATATATATATTTTGTTTTTAAAACATTCCTATTGTTGATCGTTGCTTAAGTAGTACACCACATTACTCTTTCTCCAATAATACTTTCACGCTTAAAAAATGAGATCAAATCAAAAGAGGATTGCTATAAACTTCTACTTTCCTGCAAGAAAAAATAAACAAATTAAATTAAGAATTATATGGGTGAAATTAAATAAATAAATCAAATTAAATATTGTTACGATCTATTTTAAGCAATCTATATTTATGTCAATGAATAAAAATTAATTATTTGCTAAACTGATTCAAAATTGATTTTCAAATTATTATTCTTTCCAAAATCTTAACTAAAGATTTGAGCATTAAACGTTTTTAAAATGTATTTATAGTAAGTGATTAATTTTTCCTAAAATTTCTATAACAGTTGTATGAAATTCAGTTAGTTGTTTAGGCAAATAATTAATGGATTAAGATCAACGTGATTATTGCTAA